GCTTTCAACCATCACCGAAATGGGTCCGTCTCAAAACAAGACGTACTGCCCAACATGGACCGTTTCCTTTGGTTTCCCTTTAAGCCAACCCAAAAATGGCCCTCTCAAAAACCGGCGCACCCAAGTTGGCTTTCCTTCCGTTCTTTGCGCCAAGGACTGCCTTGGACCTCCAGGCCCTGGTTTTGTGGCGCTTCCATCCCACCAACAGAGCACTCCCCATATTTCCCCCACATGAAGCTCACGGAAAGGAGGTGCTGTTGTCTGTTGTTTTGTTTTCCCAGAGGAGACGCAGGGAGCAAGGGCTCCCACACCCTCAGGGCGCTGGACAGATGGACCCCTCACCTCGCCGCCTTCGAGACAACTTAAAGTCGGGCGGCGGCTTCGGGCTGTGAGCCAAGGCATCGGCAAAGGGCGCCAGCTTCAGCCTCCGGTGGCTGCAACATCCACGGGCTGAAGCGGTTGGGAGGGGATGGCGCCAAAAAAGGTCCAAACTTTATACTTACCGCTCAAATGGTCTTCCCAAAAAGTTTAAGTTTAAAGTTTATGAACCCAGGAGGAAGTGAGCTGAAAATCCCGTACCCCCAGTGTGAACATCCCAATCCCCACTAAAACAGGTTCTAAAATGGGTGGTGAATTCACCTACCAAAATGGGATCCCAAAACGGTTTTGGCAACCACGGCCAACAAGGGGAGGCTCCATGTGGCCCGCCTGGGCTGCAACTTGGCCTTGGCCACCGGCTGCACCGGTGGCAGGAAGGAGCGCTGAGTGAGCAGCGCGCGGTCCTTGCCTCAAGCCGCAAGCCCGGCTTCCGGCGGAAAGGCAGGCGGGGACGTCGTTCTTGGAGGGTAGCTCTTTGTAAGTTTTTCCCCGGATTAAGCAGAACCCCTGGTTGATTTTGATTGGGGGGGTGTCCCCTTTTAGTGGGGATTCAGACCACTTTTGGAGGGGAGGGGAGGGGAGGGGAGGGGAGGGAGGGGAGGGGGAGGGGAGGGGAGGGGAGGGGGGGAGGGGGAGGGGAGGGGAGGGGAGGGGAGGGGAGGGGAGGGGAGGAAGGGAGGAAGGGGAGGAAGGGAGGAAGGGGAGGAAGGGAGGAAGGGAGGAAGGGAGGAAGGGAGGAAGGGAGGAAGGGAGGAAGGGAGGAAGAAAGGAAGAAAGGAAGAAAGGAAGAAAGGTTCAAAGGAAGAAAGGAAGGCTCCGGATTGCACATGCAAGCAATGGACAGCCACCATGGGATGTGCCAAGTGGATGGCACAATCATGTCCACTTTGGGTGGTAACGAAAATGGTATGTGCTCATCAACAAATCCGGGGCACAAGTAGGGCCGTGTCGCTGCCGCATGTCCAAGTTGAACACACAGGCACAAACAACAACCAATGCTCCAGAGGCAAGCATTCGGGGTGTCACTGTGACAGTGTCGGCGTGATGCCAAGCCAGAATTCAAGCGGGCCGTCACGTTTGAAGGTTTGCGATGACACGGGCAACGCTTTTACTTTCTGGCGAACTGAGAACATCCTGAGGGCCCAGAAGTGCAAACCCTTGGGCGACTCCTTTAAAGTAAAGATGTTAAGGGGTTCTCAAACTTACTTTGGGCTGGTTTCTTTTAAGCCGCCATTCGATGGCACGAGCCAAGGCCAACCCGGCCGAGCTGCGCTTTTGCTTCTCTTGCCACTGCTTCTTTTGAGCGCACTCTTTTTCCTGAGCGCCAGGAAAATGTCTGCAATCCAAACTGCAACCTTCCAGGCAAGCTTCTGCGACATGCGAATGTCGCCGGTCTGATCCGAATGTCTTACATGGCCGATGGGCATGGTCCCTTCAGTGGGCAAATCTAAGGCATCATGGGCATGTGTTTAAGTCAAAAACGGCCCGCGGCCCAACACAGAACATGGAACTGCACTGTTCTGCTGCGGGCTACCACCAGTGGGCTTGACCCACCCGTCTCTGGGGTGGTCGCGCAGAGAACAAAACAAACAACCCAACTGGAAGCCACTAGACTGGACATTTGGCTGTGGGTCAAAAATGGGTACCCAAAATGGAACCCTGGTAAATGGAACCAAGGACTAAAACCTGCGGTGCGATTCCTGGTGGTTAAATTTTGACCGAAACTCATTTGACTGGGTGAATTACCGGGTTCACTTGCTTCTTGCCTTTCTGCCCGGAATAACTTGGACGCTTTGGTGGGGTTGATCTTCTGGGGGAGGCCACGAAGGCGAACACCAAGGCGCCACCAGCCAGTGGTGCACCCGCAGGTCCAAGCCGCTGCGCAGGGGGGGCTGCAGGGTGCGGGAGGCCAGGCTGGCGACCCAGTCACGGTGGGGGAAGTCCTCATCCTCATCCTGAGGCGCGAAACGTCGAAACGGGTCTGAAGCTGATGCGCATAGCATGTCCTGCTTGTAGGGTAAAGGATGACCTGAGAGGCTGGTCTGAAGCTGGGCGGCAACAAACAGAGTAACATATTCGATCACATTTCGTTTGGGCTTCTGTTTTTTGTTGGGCATTGCTGAACACATACTCATTAGGCTTGTCTTATGCTCCATCGGTGGTTGACCTGCCCCGCCCAATGTGCATGCTGAGGCACAGATGCCTCCTCCCACTTCTCAGACTCCAATGCCTGGGCGCTGGATGGTTCGCACCACGGGGCCAAGCAAAAACAAAGAAATAGCATCGGCCGTGGCTCGAATTCGTCGCCCACCCGCCGCTTGACGTGCGGCAGCTTCATATCCTCAAAACAAAGCTGAGTGCATCACCAAGTATGCAGTCCATGCTGTAGTTGAGTTCAAAGTTGAACTGGGGGACTTCTGTGCTCGGTTCCATCTACCAAGGGATACCAAGGGAGGTTTTAGAAGACTGCTTCTTCTTTGGCAAGCTTTTTGTCCAACTCCATTGTTGAAAAGAGGGTCTCGGGATCCTGCACCATCCCCCCCCTACAGCTGCTCTTTCGGTCCTCGCGCCCCTCCGCTCACCGCTCGCGGGAGCTTCGCGCATGGCGGTCAGCTGCCCATGGCAAAGGAAAAGCCCAACGCCTTGAGCATCTGCGGGGTATCGACTATTGTAGGGGTTGATTCCTTTTCCATTCTTTTCAACCATCGTTCTTTTCAAAAAACCGGCTGTTTCCTCTGGGTGTTTGATGGCTTCCTTCTGACCTGAAAGAGTTAGCCAGCGCCTCCAATCGGTGGCTCGGATTGGTCGTTTGCCAATTAGAGGTGGTGTCCCATTTGACCTCAAGAACCAGAGCTTCAATTCCAAATCCAAACCACCAATCCAAAACACTACTTGGGGGGTACCTGAAAGAGGGGGGTGGAAGCAAAAACGATCAAACAAACAAGTGACCGGCTTCTCCGCTAGAACCGCGGGAATCTTGCCTTGCATACGCAGAGGATTCAACAAGGTGCAAGAGCAGTTAATTCCATCAAGACGCAGCAATACCTGTCAATAGTATTTTGCTGCCAGGGCAGCATGCAAGAAGCATCGTGTGTTGGGGGCAAAATGTAGCTTGGTTGGAGAACGCTTCACAAACGACCCCTACGGCACGGCATGTGTTTTGCTGTGAGGCTAAACTATTTGCCTCTTCCAATCGTAGCTGCTTACTTCGCCATGGCCCAGACTGCCAAAGAACTTGAAAGCCCTGTCTGGGCCAGGCTTCGACCTGCAAAGTTCACCTTTGGCTGGCTGAATCGGAAAATCGCGGAACCCAAAAAGGCCAGCTAAGTCAGGATAAGTCAGGCAATGCTCCGTTCTCCGAACCAGGGACCACTGGCTGGCCTCCAATTTGCTGGTTTACTCAGTATGTCGTGAAATGTCTTCCCAAACTCATTTGCTCATGCCTACAAGCCAGCTCAACAAGGGCGGGTCGCTTTCAACGTCATCCTCCCAGGCAGACGTCCGGTCCCTGTCCATCTTGTCCCAAAGCTCTGCCTGCGTGCAGAGGGTCGCCTCGGCGGGCGGAACAAAAGGGAAACTGCAGCCCCAAGGCAAGTCTGAGTGAAGTGTGGGGAAAACTTCATCCGCCGAGCAGCGCCAAGGCAAACACGACCCGACTCGGCTTGCTGGGTGGGAGCATGATCCGAATCGTGACGGGAAATCTGCTCTGGTCTCGCCACGTCTAGCCGGTGATCCGGAACAAGGTGTGTAAGACTTGCGTTCGATGACTTAGTTGGACGCAGGAACATGCCAAGTCTCCCCAATTGACGAGCAATCCGAGTCTTACAGCTGAGCCCCCTAGGGCCCCTATGCTGTTATCCTTTGGTGCTTGCTACTTTCATGGCTGCCAGCCACGCATGAAGTTGACGCCTTTGAGCACAAGCTCCAAAGCAGTTGCAGCACCTGTGCGCCGTTGCCCTCACCGTTTTCCCACGACGGCCTGCCGCATTCCCGCACCCGCTTGCAAATCTGACAGCATTGGACCGTACATGCTGTTTCCCCAGAGCCAGGAGGAATGAAACGGCGCGCGCTGGGAAAATCGCCTGGCTGCCCCGCCACACACATCCGGCGGCAAGGCGCGCGCTTGCACTTCGGGCTCTGGCCGTCTAAGGTGTCTAAGATGCCAACTGCGAGGGCCGGCTCTCGCTTCAAATGATTCCAACGGTGGTGGTTGGGTAACGGCAAACTGGCAAAGCTCCTCCCTCACAAGGTTTATAAGTACCACGGGTGCTGGAGGCGTCTTATTGGTTGAGAACCCAACCACCCGAAACAAACCCGCATTGCAATAAACACAAGATTTTGCGGTGTCTCCATCCAAATTCTGATATCTTGGACAATATTTGCAATCAGGTCCAAAAGAGGGGCTCGTGCATGCGGCTGGTGCAAATCCAAGCACTGACTCAAGTCCGTTGCACCCCCGGCTCCCCTTCAGGGAGGGGGCAATGCTTCCGGGCGAATTCACAGGTCCGGCAGCAGGTTCATCTCGCACGCCACGGAGAGGCCCTGCGCGAGGTGCGGCCGAACATGAGCCCAAGCTTCGCATAAGCGCGATGGTTGTGTGATCCTGGAAATTGTCAGATCGGGAAGTAGTTGTTGTTGTTTTGGGTTTTCTTTCATCACAACAATCTTAAAGCCATCGTAAACCCATTGGGTACGAATTGGAGGAGATGGACTGATTTTTGCGGTGCATTTCTTCAGGCAAAAGACATGTATGACATATACAGTACAATTCTGGACGTGAGACCTTCCCGAAAGATCCACCGACCATTTGGGAGGGAACAGGATCACACTTGTTCGGCAAAGCCCCTAAGAAGCGAGCCCAACACACCAACAGCTACGAGCCTGACCAGCGTACTCTGGTTTATCACAGCAAAAAAAGAAGAGCCAAAGTCTACCTTCTCACTATCCGCCCCTTCGTGCGAGCATCAGCCTAAGTGTGCACAACCCCCGTTTCCGTGCCCATAATTCGCCTTTCGGCACAAAAGGTGACCAACCATACATCAGTCCGCTATGTGCAGCTGCGGTGCCATGAAAATCGCGTATTGGCCCAGGAGCACCTAGGCAGTGTGGTTTCGGCCTTGTCATCCCAAAACCGCATGGCAAGACTGGTCTCCCTCGCAGACCTGGTTCTATCTACCTTTCTTGGCGGCTGAGCCCTGATAGAACAGGAGCCTCTGCATCCCCCTCAACGTGCCCGAAACATGTTATGTTGAAATACTGCAACGCCTGATGTTTAAATCACCCAACAAGGGAGACATATTGAGGACCCCATGCCCGAAAACGCCAAATATTCAGAAATCGAGAGTTCGGCCGCGCTGCCCATGCGAAGTTCCGCGGGCATCTGAAGCGGAAGCCGGCAAACCTCGGCTAGGTGCGTCACCCAAAACCAAATCACGACCAAGACCCAAATAGGGGAACTCTTATACATGGTTGATTCGTAGGCATGTGAATCGTTTGTCCCACAAAAAAAAAAAAAACACCTTGGATGCTTCTACCAAGGTTTCTGGAATACACAGCGCCGGGACGTCTCAGCCGATCCCTTCCGCCCGAGTCGCACTGCCATGGTCATGAGCATCGCCAGCAGCAGCGACCCCGCAGCGATGCGGTTCCTTGGGCCGCATGGCGCAAGGTACCCTCGAACAGTGAGTGATGTTGCTCCCCTCAGTCGTTCAGTGACCCTCGGAAAAAAAGGAACCCTTTTTGGGGAAGACCATTTTTAGTGGGGCAGCCACAAAAACAAAGGGAAAAAGGGTGCCACTGAACAACTGAGTCCCAGAAGCCATTGTCACAAAAGGTTGGTTCGGTCGAACCAGCTCAAACGACATGAGGTCACGCCTGAGGGGATGGGTTGTCACAAATAGGAGCCCAAAAAAGGGCGGGTTGCCTCCCCAAAGCCAAACAAAAAGAAGCTGCACACCCACTTCAAAGACGGGCTTCAGTGCCACACACACACATCCCTGTCAAGTGGGAATGCTTTGCCAGACCAGTATGTTGTATGTCGGACACTTATATTTTGCAACCACCTTTTTGTTTAGGCTTCAAGGCTTTGGGAAGTGTCTGTGCTTTAGCTGCAAAATAGCCCATGGCACCCCCAACCAAGCTAAAAAGTTGTCATGCCTAGATTCTGGTCATCTTCTGTGAACCTTAACATGCAAAGTTCAAAAGGTTGGGGCTGACTGAAAAGAGCCACGTGATTTGTGGCAATATTGCCGCCAGAAAGAGAAGTACCCAAAACCGGCACCCTGGTAATGATGTCCGTTGTTCATGTCACAAACGAGAGGTAAAAAATCACCTGATTCCCCCTACGTACCTCCCATTTGGGCACCTGTTGTTTTTTGTGTGCGACCCTTTTCAGGTTGGAGGGGGAAAAAACCGAAGCCCAAAGGAACCCCCTCCCCCCCGTGCTTTTCCGCGCGCCCCGTCCCCGAGGCGCTGCTTGCTGAGCTCCGAGGCCAGCGGCTGGCGCCAGGTGGCCGTGGTCAGCGCCAGGCCGAGGCCCAGCAAGTCGCTGAGCAGCGGCGACCCGAAGATCCCGGCCACCGCCATCTTGGACCTACCCACGCGACAGCGACGTGCCAAATGCCACACCCCACCCCGAGGTTCAGGCCAAACCCCACCCCAATTTCATAGCTCCCGCCGTGAAAATGGAAAAACAAGACGTAAAACAAAGGGGTTTGCGCGGCGGATTTAAAAAATGGCCACCTTTGGTTGCTCTTTTCCTTTTTTGGTGGGGGGAGGTGATGTTACAGAGAAACCCCCAGCCCAAACAAAGGGGGAAAAGAGCAACACGCCACACTAACCCATCAGGGATGCGAAGCCGAGAATTTGGGAGGGTAAGGACGCCCCACCCCCTTTTTGGACATATTATATTGCCCGCTTCTGTGGCACTCCTCCTCTTCATCTCTCACTGCATCGCCAGTTTGAATTCGTCCAAGCTCAAGGACATTCAGTGCCCCTAAGACCTCCAAACCAAAAACATGCCATGTACGTCCTAGATGGTGGGGGACCAGAACTGGGTACAGCGTCAAGGGCACACAGTAGCCTTCAAAATATCCACTCCGGCACTTTGTTCTAAAAACTGGACTTCATATAGCCTGCATTTGTGCAAACCCTGGAAGCTTGACATTGACATGGCAAACGAACAAGCGAAAGGCGTCCTGGTCTCAGCAAACAAGGACCCAACTGGGTAGGTTGCCAAGGGGGGCCAAAAAGAATGCCAATCAGTTTGAGCCATGGTTATACGTTTGCCCTCCTATGGAAAAAAGTCTTTGTCAAAACAACGACTAGAACTACGACTGCTAATGCCCTTGCTTCTACTTCTACTGATGCTACCGCTACTACTTCTCCTACTGCCTCCAACTACTGCCTCCTACTACCACCCCCACCACCACCCCCACCACCACCACCACTAGTACTACTTCTGGCCAACCCATCAGGCCTGCCCTGGCGCGCCAGAGCAGTATCCGCCACCAGGTCTCCCACAGAGTTGCCCCAGGCCAGCACGGTGATGCCCAACACCTCCGATTCGCGTGCGCGCTGGTTCTGGGGCTGTGACGCTGTACCACCCGGAGATGTCCCAACCTCCTGGGAATCTAGACTCCAGTTCTGGCCCCCCACCATCTAGGACGTACCTGGCATGTGTTTTTTTCTTTTTTTGGGCTGTCTTGGGGGCACACACGCAGGGCTTTATGTCCTTGAGCCCTCCCAACAGGCATTGATGCTGGCAAGAGGGCATTGGGAGACTGTCGTCGTGAAAAACTTCTTCGCCACCTCCATGCTTGGAAAGCAGGAAGCCCTGGCTTGAGATCAGTTTTACCTTTTGGATGTTGGGTTAGGGCCGTCAAAAGCTCCTGAGGCAAGCCTGCGAGCAGCACAAGTTGGCCGACGAGTAAGCAACAGGATTTGAGCTTGCCACCTTCTGCCTCTACAAATGCACTGCAATTGCCCCAAGGCCGCTTGGGTGGTGGGCACTTGGGGTCTATGTTAGCCCTTCTAGATCTTCTGAAGGGTTGAAGGTCTGTTGCTTTTGGTTTTGTTGGTACGCACTGGTCTTCTTGGGGGGGGGGGGGGGGCGGAGGACAAGGCCTACATGGCTGCAAAACTCCCTTTGACTCAACTCATCATAACCCAGCTTTGCACAAGGGGCACTTCTTGGCCCCACCACCCTGGCGAGGGAATCAGTTTTCAGCTGCATGCTGCTGCGGCGCGGCTGGCTCGTTTGAACATGAATTGCCGATTCAACCGGGGTGTGTTGCAGCTGCGCTCTTGTTGTGATAAAGGCGCCAACCCCCAGAAGAGTCCGAGTTCACGACACTGGCACATGCACGTGGGATGTTGTGCAGACCACAAGCAAGCCCCCCCCCCCCGAAGCCACCCAAATCGAGGCACTGAGGAGGAGATGCCGAGGTTCAGGCCAAAGGCCTCCAACACGGCCACGCATTCGTTGGCCAAGAAGTTGAACCAACTCACCGCCGACGCCATTGCCTGTCGGGCAGGGGACTATCAAACAGAAT